CAGCTTATATCCTGCGACGATACCTTTAACACCATCAAACAACAACATCTGCCTGCCCCGGGTCCTTGGGAAGGACTGGATAGGTGGGCAAAAATGCCAAATCCAGTCTAAACATCTGGCTGACTGTGAGATCAACAATAATTATCTATTAAACTTGCCTCCCAACTCTCAGTGACTCTGGGCAGCTCACAACAATCAAACAAAGAAATTACAGTAAAATCAATAAAAGATAAAGATAAAAGATGGCAAATGCAATGAAGCGAGGGGTCTCAGTCTCCCTCACCAAAGGCCTGGGTGAACCGCCAGGTCTTCACAGCTCTTCTAAACAACAGCAGAGTGGAGGCCATCTGAATCTTGGGGGGAACCTTGTTCCAGAGGGCAGACGCCACTACCAAGAAGGCACACTTCTGGGGTCCCAGTAGATGACATAGTTTAATCAAAGGAACCCAGAGCATGCCCACCCTGCAGGATCGAATTGGCTGGCATAAAAGAAGCAAGGGAAATTTGACTCATTTTAGGAGGGGAAGAACCCCTTCTTCCTTCCTTCCTTCCTTCCTTCCTTCCTTCCTTCCTTCCTTCCTTCCTTCCTTCCTATGAGGAGTGGGGATGAAGGGATTTTTGTTGCTACATAATCTGCAGTAGTTTAGGACAAGCAATTATTTTTAATCCTAGTTTTCGATATCTTGGACTCATCAGAAGTGAAGATGATTACAAGTCACTTTCAAACTATTTCTGGGTACTGCTTTCTGAAAACGGTGACAATGTGGAAGTTCTTTTACAATCAAGATTTATAGGAAGGGTAGGAAACCAATGGACCTCCAGATGTTGCCAACAATAATTGCAGGTATCCCTCAACACTGGCTCTGCTGACTGTGGGAAATGGTAATTCAGTAATAGGTTCCTCATGTCCAATTTAGAGGAAGAAAGCAACCCTACGATGTCATTTTGATTAACCTCAATAGCCCACCAGACCATTCTGACATTCTCTTTCCTTCACAGGCTGCCTCCTGGCATTGATGCAGCCGTGGTCCGATCGTCACTTTCCCCAGATGGCATGCTGACAGTGGAAGCACCCTTGCCCAAACCAGCCATTCAGTCTGCAGAGATCACAATCCCAGTCACTTTCGAAGCCCATGCCCAGATCCCTCCATCGGATGTCAAGAAGCCTGAGGAGGCCACCAAGAAATAAAGAGCTCTCGAAATTCACAAGTCTGGTATAGAAAATGGGCATTTAAAATCTCCCATATATTCCATTTTGTAAAGACATCACTGTAGTCAGGCTTCCAAATAAAACTCTAAAACCCCTATACAATTTTATTATTTTTTTCAAAATTTCATTCAAGTTCAGTGCTTATCTTCCATCTCAGAATGCATGAAAAGAGGAAGAGAGAGCTGGGCATTCTTCCCTAACCTGATGATCTCTAGATTTTTGATCTTTTCCCACAATATCTCCAGCTACTTTAGAAGAAACCTCCCTCAACCTGTCTGCGATCTTGGCATATACCGCCCTTCAATTAGACCTAAAGGCATTCTCCAAGCATCTGCTTTGTTCCAAAGGCCTTTGTACAATTCCTAGCATTTTCTGGTAAATCCAAAAGATGAGGAGCCATTGTCCATCAGGGTAAACCAGTCTTTTTCAAACTTGGCAACTTTAAGATGCATGGATTTCTGGGACTTAAGTCCACACATCTTAGAGTTGCCAAGTTTGAAAAACACTAGTGTAAACAGTTCTGAGCTTCATGACCCAACAGTAGGCATTAGCTCTTGTGACCATTTTATCCTACTGCCTACAAGGGTCATTAGGATTTAAAACAGCAAGCCAAGGACTCCCTCTTTGTTCCTCTCCTTGTCTCTGCTCTGGTCTCCCCTGGTTGGAGGACTGATAATGTTAGGGCTTTTTCCAGCTTGTACTTAACCAAGCACAAATATGTGTCCATGATGTTGCCTTCATCCTACCTTCAGCCCATGAGTGAGACAGTCTTAAATCATCCTTGGTTGTACCTGTTTTAAATAGTTTCCCCTTCATTTGTATACCATCCAAGAGCAGCCTCCAGGATATTCAATCTCTTAGGCTTTATCATCCATTACCTTAAAGGTAAATTCAGGTGACCAGAGCAGATGGGATCCAAGAGAGCTTATTGGCCTTTTCAGGCCCAGGCCCTTGCCATCTTCATCTGCCACCAACATTGTGCAATAGCCATGTACAAAATGTAAGGAAAACTACTTGCTGGAGCTTGAAATAGCATAACAGTAAAATGGTGCAACAAGGAAATAGCATAACAAGCAAAAATAATATTAAAAGAATTGGACTAAGACCCCACAACTGACCCAACTGCCTCATGAACAAAACACGAAGAAATCTGGAAGTTGCCTGTATAAGGGAAGGAAGAGAAAAGAGAGAAGCCCTAAATGTAAGTGCTGCTTGTGAACCAGCCCCCTTTAGCAGTCTGACCTGGTTTTTGTTTTGTTTTTTAAAGTTTTCTGGCTCAGGTGATGACAAAATGGGGTGCAGGAGGAGGAGCCAAGAGATGGGTAGGCAACCAGACCAACCCCACTTCTGATCTGGTCCTGTGATTAACAGTATTTACCCCACTAGCTGGTGACATATGGAAGAGGGAGGGCTACAAAGCTGGAGGAGTCAGCCAATCACTTTGCTTATCACATACTGGACACACATAATCGAGACAGCACCATTCAGATGTGTATCAGATACAGAGGCAAAAGAGGCAGGATAGGAATCAGCAACAGGAATGGCAGATTTTATACCCATATAATTTCTGCCAATTTAAGGATGGGTGGAGAGTAGAGCTCACATGCATTTTGCATCAGGCCTTTGGATGCAAAAAGGTAATTGCAAGGTCTGCTTGATGAAGTCACTTTTACTCCACACCTGTGCAACTAACTGGAGCCAAAGTAGAAAAGGTGCTTTGGAGGGGGGGTGGCTGCTGGTGCCACCTTAAAGAAGCCGCATCTTTTCCTCAGCTGTAATAGCAGGCTCACTTTGAGTTAATAAGATATTAAGGAAACGGCAACAAGGTGTGGCAAGATGATCAGCACCTCCTTCATTCAAGCATGTACAGTATTTTTATCAAAACAGATTTCCTTAATAAACTTCACTCATTTGTCCTCTTGGATCTGCGCTTTTGTCCTTTAAATATCTGTCTCTAGGTACTCCTACAGGGCTTGGTTTTATCCTCACAGTATTCTTTGCTAAAGGAATGAACTGGATGGCTTATCTTAAATTTGGCATGGACAATCCAGGGGCTACATGCAAACCCCAGCCCCATTTGGTAGAAATGAGAAGATCAAATCCCCAGAATTTTGGGACAAATAATTGATGTTTAGCGGAGTGGTTCTTTGCTTTAAAGGGGGGAAAGGGGGTGTTAAAACCTTTCTCCAACTCTTCCTCCAAACAAAAAGGGCCAAAATTTGTCCCCATACCAGCAGTGGCTCCAGTTAGGAATGAAAAAAAGTACAGGCTCGTCCCTAAAAATAAGGTGGCCCAGCTAAGCTTTGTTCTAGCCCAACCTCCTGTGGTTTTTTTCCCCTTCCCCTTCTCTCCATATTGCTTTCCAGAGAGATGAGAAAAGGAGATGACAGTGAAACAAGGTTTTCGCATTATGTTTCCATACAAGGAGGAATTGTTCAAATGAGCACAAACCCATCCTCAGTTCTACACGAAAGACAGGGGTTGAGCTGAGCTGAAAGCTTACCTCATCAGGGCAGCCAAACGCATTTCAGCTCAACTGCTGTCTTTGTAAGTAGGTAAGATCTGCATTCCCACTATAGCCATCAATCGATTTTTGAAACCTGATAAGAGCACATTTTTAACTGCATTGTTATACCAGCAGCAGAAGAGAAAGCCCTGAAAGCATTTTCTCCTGGAAATGTTACAAGCCTTAACAGTGAGCATACCAAGCCAACATCACTGTTGGGATCAGATTGCAGGCGATTCTCCAAGCTTCAGGCTTGACCAGGGCATAGGGGGGAGGAGGGAGAGAGAGAATTCAGCCCAGAGCAATGGCTCCTTATATGGTCAAGGCTGCAAGGCACATAAGAAGCTGGGCAATGTAGGGAATTTGAGGCAGGGGAGATAATCAGACACACAGAAAGGACAACCTCAGCAACTAAGATTATTAGGATGTACCCTGAGAGTATAATTAAGAAGTGCTGTACAGCCTTCAGGGTGACATACCCACCACATTTGTGGTTTATAGTACAGTGATCCACAATATGGTGGATGGAGGATAGTTGCCAGCCACTGGCTCTGTTTGGATATGTATGTGAGCAAGAACACATATGCTTGCAAAATGGGAACATAGCACACACACATACACACACATATATTATCAAATCCTGTCCATCTAGCACGCACTCCACCATCAGCGGATTCATTATATGTGCTGCTTTGACTTGGATTGTCTCAGTTTTGCCCTCCAGTCCAGGCCTTCTCCTTCCAGTTTACAAAAAATCCCGGAAAGTCAAGCTGAAGAAACTTGCAAAGGGGGAATGTGGGTTTAGTCATCTGTAACAGTTAGCACCCTCCTGATGGGTGTACACAGCCATACTTTCCAATACTTTCTTCTGGGGGAGCTTGCAATCATCTATCTGACATCTTCTTCCCTATGCAGGTAAAGGGGACACTAAACCCTGCCCTCCCCAGCTTTGCTTGCACAAGCCCGCCAATCATAGCCTTTGTCTCAGTTTCAATTGCTTGATGATACGATAATAAGCCTACCAGCAAAAAAAAAATCCTTGTAGATGCCCTTTGATCACATGACATATATCTCATGCCAATTCGTTTTCAGATCTATTTTAAAGTACTGAACTTTTAATGTTATAAATGGCTGGGGACCAGGTTACCCGAAGGAGTCCTTCCTTCTGCACTATTGCAAGAGAAATACTATAATATTCCTCTAACTTGCCACCTCTGCCTGTCGGGCATGGAGTACAATGAATCTATTGTCCATGTGCTACCACACTGCAATTTTTATTTAGGTTTATGCCAAAATTTAATTCTTCCTTTTCTAGCAACAATTCCAGGGCAGTCAGGTGATTACTATGCAGCCTTCCTTTGATTGAATGATTGATTATGTGCCATCAAGTTGGTGTTGACTCTTAGCAACCTCATAGTTAGATTTTCTCCATCATGATCTGTCCCTGACCTGGTCCTTTAGGCCTTCCAATGGTGCACTCATTGCTCTGTAATTGAGCCCATCTGCCTTGCTGCTGGTTGTCCTATTTCCTTCCACCTTTCCCAGAAGTGGAGCCTTCTCCAGAGAGCTAGGTCTTCGCATAATGTGTCCAAAATAGGATAATTTGAGCTTGGTCACTTTTGTGCCTCAAGTGAGAACTCTGGCTTGATTTGTTCCATTTGATCCATCGGTTTGTTTTCTTGGTTTTCCATGGTATTCTCAGGAGTCTTCTCCAACACCAAAGGTCAAAAGCATCAATACCCCTTCTATCCTGCTCTAACTTTCACTTCCATAGCATGTCACAGGGAATACCATTGCCTGCTTTATTCTGATCTTTATATAGCCTTCCTACTAGCTGACAATAACTTCAAGGTCACGTACAATGTCGCTACGTTTTGCTCCTTAGCTTCAAGAATGTGACAGAAGATGCTTCCTAAAGTTCTAGTTCCACTCATATAAACCTTGCTTGCTTTTGTTTTTCTTTGTATGTTTCTTTGTCTGTTTTGCCAGCTTCTGGCTGTAATAAAGTTTTATTTATCTATCTGGAGGACAAATTGCAGTCATGTGTATGTATCTGAACCTTAGCTCTGCTCTATGGATCCCTGGGGAGCTCTTAGGCTGATGAATGTTAGCAACAGTGGTCCAATAGTTTTTGAAGATACCCTCCCTCCCCATGGAAGTCTGACCCCAGCTAACTTTTTGGAAAGATAAACAAAAAAATAGGTCAATATCTGGGTGATTTCACAATGCTGTGCTTCATTTGTTGTTATTATTTCAATATGTAAGAATATAAGAAACAAGCAGGTGCTCGTTTTTGCATCTCTGTATTTTATTCATGTCAGAAGGCTGCCCAGACCAGAAGGCATTCTTCCTCCATCTTCCAATTAAAAAAAAAAAAAATCACAGATGAAGTTTTTATTCCCCTTCCTCCATCACATTGTTTTTTTTCCTCTGCAGTAAAGCCACTTTCTCAGTTTGACCACAAAGCAGGGCCATCCTTCTTAGCTAGGCCCAGAGAAAGGAACCTCTACCTTGCTGGTTGCTAGGCAACAGCTCCGTCTTCTGGGAAACTGAGAAATAAATTTAGCCCGATGAGAAACAGTTAAATCCTTGC